TGTTATTTTAAACCTTAAATCTGAGAAACTTGGGGGATCCTGGAAGAACAGCCCTGCGGCACCAGCTGCCCGGGGATTCCTGTGATCTGCAGCCCCCTAGTGGGCCTCTAGTGTAACATAAAAAGTGATGCTGAGAGCAGCAAGAGGCTGTGTCCATTCAGAGTGTGCAAAGGTCCATGAGCGCCCACCGCACTGTAGATGCTGGGGACACTGACGTGCACAGAACAAACAAACAAAATCATGCCCCAGAGTGACTTAAAACAGGGAAGCCAGACAGCAGAACCGGTCTGGGGCAGATATCACAAATTTCAGCCAGGCGTGTTGGCACACACCTGTAATCCTAGCAGTTGGGATGCTGAGGCAGGAGGATCACAGTGAGTTCAAGGCCAGCCCGGGCTCCATAGGGAGTTCAAGGGCAGGGTGAACTTTGTAGCCACCCCTCCCTCAAAACAAACAAGCAAACAACAAAAAATGAATCACAAGCTTGATTTGGGACCCATTTTGAGATTTCCATTAGTCTTCGTTGGGGTCAGAAAACACAAAGTGCAAATCATTTCTCATTTGAGATTTCACCAAATCTCAGTAAAAACAAAAGCAGAGCCAGACATGGTAGCACAAGCCTGTATTTCCAGCATTCAGGAGGCTGAGGCAGGAGGATTGCCACAAATCAGAAGCCAGTTTGGGCTACAAACTGAGTCCAAGGTCAGCCTGATCTGCACAGTGAAACCCTGTCAAAAAACAAAGAGCTAAGAGTAGAGGTACACTCTGGGATGCTGAGTGTACCACAGGGATGCAGGAGGTTTCAAGTTGAAGCCCTATCTGAGGAATTCAGTGACTTAGCAAGATTAAAATTTTTAATCAAAATTAAAAATAATAAAAGGGCTGGGGATGTAGCTCAGTACAAAGGTCCTGGTTCAATCCTCAGTATGAAAAAGCACAAAAGAAAAACCCCATTACAGCAGCCTATTTATGAGAACCACACCCCTGCTGGGGGTGTGACTGTGGGCATGTGTGGAGGTGCAGAGGAGCCTAGGACTTGCCCCACCTGCCCCCCATGACCCTCCCCACTCTGTGTCCTTCTCAATCCCTCCTCCCAGGACACTCCCCCCCCCACCTCGCTCATCATGGGGCCTGGCACCTGGTACCCAGCAGAGGCTCCTGTGCATTGATTGAAGGTGGATTTTGACTTAATGAGGCAGACAGGATGAATACTGGGTGCGAGCGCAGTCTCTGGAAAACTCCGCAGTACAGAGCAGTCAGGCTGGCTTGGGAGTGACTGGGGTTGAAACCAGTCAGGGGAAAGAACTGTTTTTGGGGGCTTTGGGATTGAACCCAGGGCCTCCATGCTGAGCCACATCCTCAGCCTTTTGTATTCTTTGAGACTGTGTCTTGCTAAGTCACTAAGTTATCCACGCATGACTGAGCTCAAACTTGTGATTCCCCTGCCTCAGCCTCCCAAAGTGCTGGGCACCACACCCAGCTTACTCAGGGACACTTTCAAGGAGGAACTGGGCTGGGACTGAGTCTGGAACAAAGGACGAGGGAATGAGGTGTCAGGAAGGGCAGTTTCCGGGAACCTGTCCTATCATCCCCGCGTGCTCTGAGGCCACCACTGTGTGCTCCTAGGTCTGTGCCCTCAGCTGGGCTGCCCTCCCCAGCCCCGTCCTGATATGGACTCATCCAGCCAGTGATCAGGGCTTGTGGTACTGTCCTTTACCACTCTTCATTACCAGGGCCGTTGCAGCCCCTTGGTCTGTCTACTAATGAACGCCCAGTGCATCCATGCCGTCATTACCCCGGCTCCAGTGAGGGCCTGGTAAACATTTGCTGGATGAACCCACAGCCTAGAAACTGCTGGCCATACTCTGGGATGGCTCCTCAAATGCTGAGTCTCAATCTGGAGCTGGAAACATTTGAAAACTGAGTGGTTGAACGATGTGTTGGCCAGCTTTCTGGTCCCTGCTACCCACAATTAGAAGGAGAAGAGGTGTGATATGGCTCACAGCTTCTGAGGGTTCAGTCCATGGTCAGGGGGTTCCAAGCAGAAACATGGTGGAGGGTGTGGAGGAGCCACAGAGTCTGGGAAGCAAAGCAGGGAAACAGTAGCATCATCAAGGGAGGAGCTGGGGACCAGATGTGGACCCCAGAATCACCCTTTCATAGCCCATAAAACACACCCAGAAGTATGCTTTACCCCCCCCACCACCACCAAGTGGCTCCTAGGCCGATCAAAGACCACGGAGCTTAACTGTCAGAAAGGCTCACCCCAAACCCTTGCACAGTTACTAGTAAGTGGCTCTGTCAGGTTTCACTTAGTGATTCTCTACTCCATGCTTCATGCTGGCTACCAGGAGCCTGGGGCTCAGCTCTGCAAAAGGACAACAATCAATAAGGTAAAGTGCCGCTTTGTGGACCATGTGGTCTGTGGCACTGTGGGGAGAGGGCTGACTGTCCAAGTGCGTTAGAGATGTTCCTGAGCACAGAGGTGACAAACTTGAAGGGGACGTTGAAAGACAAGGTTTGTCCTCTGGACAGATGCGACTGAAGTTGGGAAATGGAGAAGAGAATGGGGACAAAGTTCTGGACAAATGGAACAGCAGACACAAAAGCCGTGGTGGTGGTGGAATCTGAGAAAGTGTGCTTGGTTTGGGGCAGGCCAGCCAGAGAGCTGCACAAATACCAGTCTGCAAGGGGCACTAAAATATATTGACCTCAGTCACTTGTAGCTCCTTCCCTACCTTCTGAAACCTGAGTAGCTCCTACTCCTTTGAAACAAAACAGTGCCCTTGAATATTAGTTTAAAAATTCTCATGATTGGCAGTTCTAATTATCTTATGCTATATTCAGTGCATGTAACAAATTATTTTTAACATGGAGAGGTTTGTAATTCTTATCAATAGAAAACCAGGTTCTTTTTTTTTTTTTTTTTGTCTTTTTGAGACAAGGTCTCACTATGCAGTTCAGGCTGGCCTTGAGCTCACTTTGTAGCCTAGGCTGGTCTCCATCAATCCTCCTGCCTCAGCTTCCGGAGTGGTGGGATTACAGCATGAGCCACCACGCCTGGCTCATTTATTTTTTTAATTTATTTTTTATTGGTACATTTTTAGATGTGCATATTGATAACATTCATCATAGGGCATTTGTACCCATACATGATATATTTTGTACCTTACTTACTTTTCTTGTTGCTGAAACAAAATATCCAGCATCCAAAGTTAGAAGGAAAGTTTATTTAGCTGTTTGTAGAGGTTTCATTGCATTATTGGCTGGCTCCAAGGCAGGCTGGCATGGCACCAGTTCAAGGCAGCAGAAGACAGCAAAAGCAAAGTGGGGGGGGGGAGTGAGAGGAAGATGAAAGAGGGAAGGGGAGAGGGAGGGAGAGGGATTGCTTTGCACTATTGTGGCTCAGGAGGGCCTCAAAATCATAGTGATCCATAGGCATGGTGATGCATGCCTATAAGCCCAGCACTCAGGAGGCTGAGGCAGAGGATCACCACAGCTTTGAGGCCAGCCTAAGCTACACAGTGAGTTGAAGGCCACTCTGAACTGTATAGTGTTATAACCTAAGCCCCCCTAACTATCGCGCCGAAGCCGGTGGCCCCTCACAAATTGTGTTAATTACATTAAATTGTATTAGATTGTACATTCTTCACAAAAATAGCTTCGTTTATATCATAGCAATCTGTAATTTGGCCTTACTGTAAATGTGTGTTTTCCTTTTCCCTCTGAGTAAAGGATTGATATGTTAATCAATGCTCTCCTCTGTAAAGAATTATAAAATCTTTTTTTTTTTTAATTTTTTTTGTCTTTTTTATCAGTACCAGGGATCGAACTCACGACTGCCTGCTTTCAATGCAGGTGCTTATGCCACTGAGCTAAATACCTAATTGATATGTTAACCATTGTTGCCCTCTACAAATAACAGTTGTAGTGCTAAAGTAAGGTAACTACAGTTGTTAATTGCTGTTAGACTTCTCTATTCTTCTTACCTAAACTTGCTAGTATGCAGGGAGACTTGCAATTGCCGTTTCTGCTTTGTAGTGCGTCACACCCCCATCCTCCTCCTTACATTGTGTGACCAGCAGCTGTTTGTGGATTTACAAGATAAAAAGACCTGACTTTTAGCTGTGAGGTGCACAGTCTCCAAATTGGCTCCCGGAGGTCACCAGGCCTGGATTTTACCTAATAAAGCCTTTGCTTCCCAAATTTTAATTTCTTGCTTCCTTGGATTTTATACCGGGGTCCGAGTTATCACATATAGCAAAACCCTGTTTCAACCTTCCCCAACCAAAAAAACACACACACCCTCAAAAATAAATGCAAGGCGATTCTCCTGCCTCAGGCCTGAGTGCCAGGATTACAGGCTTCCGGTCTTAGGACCACCGTTTCTTCTGAATGTTCCAAACATCAGGGATGTCCGTATTCTATACTGGGCCATTAAGTTTGGTGTTCAGAAATAGTTTCATGACTGCGCCCTAACGTCATGTCTACACTTAAATCACTGCTATAAGGATCCACTGCCTTTGCATCAAGTCTGTTCTTCTTGGCGGTTGGACCTAAACAACCTGCCTGTGCTTCCATTTCCTCGTTAGAAATAACAGTAACACTAGTTCCTGCTATACAGGTCCGCTATAGTACAGGTAAGACACTGTACTTCAAAGGGCTTAAGAACGCACGGTTAGCACGCACGCGCGCTTCCGAGAGCCTCACCGGGGATTCACCCTTACTCTGCACTGACCTAGGCTTCCGGGAGGCCCTGCGCAGGTTCGGGTTACTAAGGATTCTTAAGACAGATCCTCTGACCTCAGGCACTTTGGCGACTTCAGCTTAGGGCTATGATTGCTAAAACCTGCCCGCTGGGGCCCTGTTCCCCGCGCCAGATTCCGCCCGGCTTAGCTCTTTCCCCTAAAGGTTGAGCTGAGTTGCAGCGCAGAACGGACTCCGACGTTGCCTAGCGACACGCTATTCCCAGGATGCCTAGGGTGTTGTGTTTTTCTTAGCCAATCAAAGACGCCGGCGGCTTCGCCGGCAGCCAATGGATCGCCAGAGCAGGGCCCGCGGCGGTTGAACTCGGCTGAGGTCGGCGGCAAGGCGGTGCGATCCGGCGCTGCGGAGTGAAGTTGGGGGCGGCTCTGCGGGGACAGCTCGGGTGCGGCCGACCCAGCCATGCCGTCCCGAGTGGAGGACTACGAGGTGCTGTACACCATCGGCACGGGCTCGTACGGCCGCTGCCAGAAGATCCGGAGGAAGAGCGACGGCAAGGTGAGCGCAGGCCCCTCCCCGTCTTCTCCCTGTCCCCGCCCCACCAGAGCTGCCTCGGCCCAGGGCGACCTCCCTGGGCCCGCAAGGGGACCTCCAGGCCTGTGGCGTGGATGTACTAAGGCCCCGGCGTCTCCCCATGGCCGGCATCTGTCATGTGTTTCTCTCCCCTTTCCTCCACCTCCCCTGCGTTTATCGCTTAGACGACAGATGGTGACAGCAAGCAGGGTCCCTGAGCTATTATTAGAAAACGCCGAGCGGCCCTGCAGCGGGAGAGGGGCGGGACCACCGCAGCCCGCGCGGTGGATTCCGTTCCCCTGCGTGCGGTCGCCCCGGCATGGACCCAATGGAGAGGGAGCTGCTTGCTGGCTTCCGACAGGGGTCTCACCTGAGCGTTCGCATCGGGGACAGCGCGGCCGCCACAGTGGCCCGGGACTTTGACCATCTCTCCCTGGGCATGATCGAACTGCCCTTTTGCAGTTTTGCGGTGGGAGCTGAGGGAGACCCTCTGCGCCGGCCTCTGCATCCTCCTTACGTGGCGACCTTCACTGCTTAAAAATGAAGAGTGCGGCCGTAAACTCCGGGCTCTTTGCGCTTAGTGAACTGAGTCACCGGATCGTGACCCCGAGTAGTAGGGTGTATTTAAAAGGGAGGTAGTCGGCGTGGTGGCGCACACCTCGGATCCCAGCACTGGGGAGGCTGAGGCAAAAGGGTGGTTGTGAGTTGGAAGCCAGCCTGGGCTACCAAGTGAGTTCAGTCAAAGCCAGCCTGAACTGCATAGTGAGACCGTGTCTCAGAAAATCCAAAAAAAAAAAAAAAAAAACCAAAAACAAATAAATAAATGGGAAGTAATTTTTTAGACTTCGAGACTTTATGTTGTTGAGTGTCTCCAGTTTATACTTTGGAAGCGTTCTTGTTTCAGATACTGGTTTGGAAAGAACTTGACTATGGCTCCATGTCGGAGGCCGAGAAACAGATGCTTGTCTCTGAAGTGAATCTGCTCCGTGAACTGAAGCATCCCAACATCGTCCGTTACTATGATCGAATCATCGACCGAACCAACACAACCCTGTACATTGTGATGGAATATTGTGAAGGAGGGGACCTAGCTAGTGTAATTACCAAGGGAACCAGGGAAAGGTAAAGGCATTTTAATTAATTAATTAATTAATTAATATATATTTATTTTTTGAGACAAGGTCTCCCTGTGTAGTTTAGGCTGACCTTAAACTCACTATGTAGGTTGGGCTGGCTCACACTTGCAGTGATCCTCCTGCCTCAGCCTCCCAAGTGCTGGGATTACAGGCGTGCAGGGAGTCTTTTGAATGTAAGCTGAAAATGGCTTTCTGTTCCTGATAAGCATCGAGTGTCTATATCAGGGATGAGTTCTTAGTATTGTGAAAGTGTGTGCCTGTATTTGTTCAGTGGGTCAGTAGCATTTAGAAAATCACTGGTAAATCAATATCCCTATTTCGAGGCAGAATAATTTATTTCTCTTTGAATACTTCTCAAAACTAGATAATTCACTTCATCCCATATTTGCAGTGATTTTACTCAGAAGTTTCATGCCATGCACTGGCTCTGGTTTCAGACAATACTTAGAGGAAGAGTTTGTTCTTCGAGTGATGACACAGTTGACCCTGGCCCTGAAGGAATGTCACAGGCGAAGTGACGGTGGTCACACGGTGTTGCATCGAGATCTGAAACCAGCCAATGTTTTCTTGGACGGCAAGCAAAACGTCAAGCTGGGAGACTTCGGCTTAGCGAGAATATTAAACCACGATACGAGTTTCGCAAAAACCTTCGTCGGCACACCATACTATATGTCTCCTGTAAGTGTTGCAGTATTTAGATACTTCACAGCATTTTAATGCCAAGCATGCTGGTGCCAGGAAAGCGAATTTTTCTTGGTTTGCTGGTTAGTAAATCCAGTAGTCAAGAATTGAGTGCTGTTTTAAGTTTGTATTTTTTCCAAGTAGACCACTGGCCATTAAATCCTCTATCAGCAGCTCAGCTCAAGCTTCTGTTGAATGGCTGCCATGTGATAAACTCTGGAATTGCAAAGATAAAATGGGTTTTGTCTGTGTTTCAGTAGCAGCCGCAGCAGCAGCGTTACCCAGTCTGTCCTGGGCACAGTGGGCACACTGGCTTCACACTCACTTGGAGTCTTTGTTTTACCACTTCACAGTTTACCAGGAGCTCAGCTTGGGCAGGTGTCATTTCAGTCAATCGATTTTTATATTAAATTTAATAAAATTATATATTTCCCATTATAAAAATTAATTTTAAAAATGCCATTTTTTGTCATCCAGTATTTAAATAATTGGACTGGGAAGTGGTTAAAATGCAGGCTTGCTGGCCACGGTGAACATCCTTGGAATGCCAGCACTCTGGTAGGCTGAGGCAGGAGGAGTGCAAATTTGAGCCTAACTTTTGCAATTTAGCAACTTAGTGTGTGTATTTATTGATCTTGTAAGAAAGTTCTTGCTCTGTTATTCAAGCTGCCCTTGAACTTGAGAGATCCTCCTGCCTCTGTCTCCCAGGTGCTTGGATTACAAATATGTACCTGTTATACCCGACCCACATCAAATCCAGTGAATTTTAGGCTCCACTTTATTCCTCTCTTGTTTTTTCTTTTACTTTTCTTTTTTTTTTTTTTTTTTTGTTCCTGCATTTAGACCCTGCTTGGAGACTGGACTTGGGGCTCGCTCACCTTGTGACATGTTTTTGCTGTGCTGATTCCCGTCCGTGTGCTTTTCCTGAAATGCACCCTCTCTGCTTAACCCACTGACTTTGTGGCTGGGTATTTGTGTCCAGAATTCCTCCAGGACCCTGCCGTGTATATCTGGGCGGACTTTCTTCCTCTGTGGTTATTTCCTTGGAGTGTCAGTCACAGGAGGGAATTGCTGAGGTGACAGGGCTGATGGTCTGGCAGTCATTAGGTATCGTCTGGTGGCTTTAGAAAGGAGAGTCTATTAGGGCCAGCATCTGTGTGACATCCAGCAGGATCCACACGTGGACATGTTCATTATCTTGGTTTTTGTTTGTTTGTGATGGCCTTGCTAAGTGACTCAGAATGGGCTCACACTTGGAATCCTCTTGCCTCAGCCTCCTGCATGCTGAGATGGCAGACTTGTGCCCAGCTTATAGTTTCTCTAAAACTTTTCAAATCTTTATAAAGGTGTGTTCCCAGATTTGACTGCACTGTAAAACTTTACAGATTTATGATTTATTTTTGAGTAAGATTAGACGTGGCCAGAACAATGTCATTTTCTACCGTATCGAATTCCAAATAGAAAGCCTTTAACACAAAGGAAGGTTATGTATATGTGGTTTTTGAAAAATTTGAAACCCATGGTCTTTGTTTCATTTTTCCTTCTGCTTTAGTAATGAGATGAGTTCAGTTCTCCTGAGGCGTAATTGTCAGGGATTGATGTCAGAGGCAGCGGCTGGGTTCTGACTGCCGAGCGGACTCCCCAGGGCTTGGTACTAGCCTGGCACTCTGGAGACCGAGTGACCTGGTAGTGAGTTACCGAAAGGCAAACAGTTCAAATGGGTAACCAGCAGATCAGTGGCTGCCAAGGTGCATACAGTAGACAAAAAAATACTTGTATAATTTCATTAGCTATTTCTGTTTGTGTCCATTTATATATAGGCTGGATATGTATTTTGGTTATTCTGGTGTTTTCTCTTGTCCTTTTAAAATAGTTTTTACGAGCTGGATGTGGTGCATCCACCTGTAATCCTAGCACTTGGGAGGCAGAGGCAGGAGGCCCCGGTGTTTGAGGTCAGTTTGGGCAACCTAGCACAATAAAATATCTAATGAAATCAAATGGGGTTTCTAGATTATGAATGCCCTGAGGGTAGAGCACTCTCATATTCTCACTCGAATTCTTAGTATCTAGACTGCATTCAACATTTTTATTGATGTATGACTTAGGAGTTGAGTTTATATGTAAGTATGTTGAAATAAAATCATTGCCTTTTCCCTATTATATTTACATATGAGTGTATATTTTTTTTCATTGCTAGGCAGTGACCCCAGGCCCCTTGCACATGCTAAGCAAATGCGCTATCACTGAGTTACAGCCTTACCTTTCCATGATAAATTTAAAGATAAAAGTGTGAATTACCGCCTCTTGTTATTGTGGTGTAAGCAGAATTCACCTTTTGTGTTTGAGATTTTTGTTATGCTTACAAAATATTTAGATTTGTTACAATTGTTTCCCTCTTTTTCTTGAGTAAACATTACTGAGCTTTGAGATTCCATTTTTATCTTTGGTATAATTTTTTAAAAAGTTTTAAAATAAATTCAGCTCCTACTTTTACTTTTCCCACGTAGGAACAAATGAATCGCATGTCCTACAACGAGAAGTCAGACATCTGGTCCCTGGGCTGTCTGCTGTACGAGCTGTGCGCGCTGATGTAAGTGTGACTGTGAATGGCAGGCTGGGTCTTCTGCTCACCGCTGATCTAACCAAAGGAGGCCGTTCATTTTTCCTGAAAAGGACGGTGAAGCCGGGCGTGATGGTGCACACCTGTCATCCCGGCACTTGGGAGGCTGAGGCAGGAGGATCACCAGAAATCTGAGGCCAGCCTGGGCTACATAGAGTCTGAGGCTAGCCTGAGATACGTAATGAGATTCTGCCTCTGAAAAGAAAAACCAATAAAAAGCAAAAATATTTTTATTCAAAGCTAGCTCTGAGGCAGGGGAAGGGCCTCATCTGCTCGTGGTCACCTCTCACCTGTCCAGGTGTGCAAGGGTCTTTTACAGTAGGAGACCAAGGGGTGGGGATCCAGTGAGAGCCATGAGGCCGCAGGCTGCTCTCTGGCCTGGACCTGGATTCTGAGGAGCAGTGTCTCATAGTCTGTGTATTCCGAGTCTGAAAGGGGGCTGGGGTGTACTCAGCCGTGTGGCACCTGCCTGGCAAGCACGAGGTCCTGAGTTCGATTCTTGTGCCAAAAAATCCCCCCAAAACCATAGATCAAAGTCTGAAAGAATCCCAAAACTTTTAAGTCGAGGTAGACGGACAGGCTGAAAAACAAACTTTATACGAGTTGAGCTTGTAGCCCATGAGGCCGGGCCTGACCTGACGAGTTGAGCGATCTGGACATGTCAGCCGCGCTGGTACAGGTCTGTAGAGGCCAAGGGAGGGTGCAGAGGTGACATGGGGACAGTGCAGCCCAGGAGGACTGGGCTCCGGTTACAGGCAGGAGCGCTGCCTCCTCCCCTTGGCCCGCCCACCTGGCTCCTTTTTGTCGGGTGGCAAAGTGGCTCCCCGGCCTGGGAGCAGCAGTGGCTGGAGGTTCTGTTCGTGGTCACAGTGACCCCGGGAGCCAGCAGCCCGCTGTACTCAGCCCAGGCTGGCAGTGGGGCTGGGAAACCTTGAACCGCAGCTATGGAAGAGCATTCCAGAAGGGGAGCACGGACCGAAATTGGGACTTCAGGCTCTGCTCCTGTTGTATATTTTCATTTTCATGTTTTAAAACTTCTTTCTCTCCCTCTTTCATCCCAGGCCTCCATTTACAGCTTTCAACCAAAAAGAGCTGGCTGGGAAGATCAGGGAGGGCAAGTTCCGGCGGATTCCTTACCGCTTCTCTGACGAGCTGAACGACCTCATTGCACGGATGCTGAACTTGAAGGTGACTGAGGTTACCTTCGGTGGACAGTGGTCCCGAACCCTGGCGGCCCTACCGCTGGACCTGGTTTATGTCCCCACCACCCACTCTGTCCTCACAGAGGGCTGTAGCCAGGGACCCAGATCTCTCCCCTTGTCCTCGCCTGCCTCGGGTGTAGCAGACATTTCTGCCCTGCCTTTGGCTCCAGCTGGAGACCAGAGAGAGGAAAAAATCAGTGGTACACATTTTGTGATTCCAGCATTCTGGGAAGCTGAGGCAGGAGGATCACAAGTTTGAACCCAGCTTGGGTGACTAAAAGAGACCTTGTCTCAAAATAAAGTGAAGAAAGGCTGGGCTGAGGCCGGTGAACTTATTTTCCAGGTGTTTCCCCCCATGTGGAGGAGCCCTTCCCTCTGCCGGGGGAATCTTTGCCCTTGGTGTGACCTTTTCTGTTCTGTGCTGTCTCCCAGGACTATCATCGGCCTTCCGTCGAGGAGATTCTCGAGAACCCTTTGATAGCAGACTTGGTCACCGAAGAGCAGAGGGGACAGCTGGAGTGGCGAGGGCGCAGAGTGACAGGCGCGGAGGAGCCCGAGAAGCCCGAGAAGCCCGGGGACGCCAGCCCTGCGCTGAGCGAGCTGAGGCTGAAGGAGCTGCAGCTGCAGGAGCGCGAGCGGGCCCTGAAGGCGCGGGAGGACAGGCTGGAGCGTGAGTCTGGGCACAGAGCGGGTGCGGCTGTGCAGGCGGAGTGCTGGTGTGTGGGGTCCTTCTGCAGCCTTCTTTAGTTTCAGTGTTTTGAGATAGGGTCTCCCTGTATAGCCCAGGCTGGCCCCGAACTCCCAGCGGTCCTCCTGCCTTGGCCTCCTGAATGCGGGGATGATAGGAGTGCGCCACTGTGCTTACCCCAGAGTCTTCTTCTAAACTCTTGCCAAACCGGGACCTTGGCGACAAGCTCACCGGCCACTTCACGTTAGATTTCTCTCTCCGGAATCCATAGTCAGCCAGAAGATACTTGGCACAAAGTGTGTTTACCCCAACACAGTGGCTGTTATTCTGTTGTACAGCAACTTGTTCCTTTCCCGTCCTGGATATACTGTGCTTCCAGCATATAGGAAGGCGCCTCCCAAAAGGCTGCAGCCGAGTGCAGGGTCTGAGCTGGGGTCGTGCAGGGTGCGTGCTGTGGAGAGCAGAGGAGGAGGAGGGTTCCAGGGTTAGTTGTAAGGTTGCGTGGAACTGAACCTTGGTGTGGTATTGGCTCTTCACACTGAGAGCCCAGAGGAGCTGTGTGTCTCCTACACCCTTACAACCCCTCTGATTTTTGCTTCTGTGGCCTGATGCCAATGTGGACTTTTACTGTTTTTCTAGAAAGCAAAAAACATGGTAGATAAAGTTTGTGTATCTAAATGTGTTTGTAAAGCACCCAGTGTATTCCTGATATTTTGGTGGTTGATAATGAAACACTGTAGCAGGCTATGGTGCTACAGGTCTGTAATCCCAGCACTCAGAGGCTGAGGCAGGAGGATCGCCACAAATTCGAGACCAGCCTGCACTACAGAGTGAGACCCTGTATAAATAAATAAATAAGCCCCAGCAGTCATGTTGAGCAGGTGACCACAGAAGTCCCCCTTTCGTGGGATGTCAGCATGAGAGCCGAGTGACGGGAAGGTGACGAGGTCATGGGGACAGAGCCCACGCCACCTATTCATTGATTTCTTTTTTTGGTCATCTTTAGAGAAGGAGCGAGAGCTGTGCATGCGGGAGAGGCTGGCGGAGGACAAGCTGGCCCGAGCTGAGGGGCTGCTGAGGGAGCAGAGGCTGCTGTCCCTGGCCAGCACTCCAGGTACGGGGTCAGCGCGCTTCCAGGGGCTGTACTCCAGGTCTGTGTGAAAGCCACATCTGTGTGGCACTTTTCTTGGAGACAGGGTTGCATCCTTCAGCCGTGAACTCCCAGCAGTCCTCCCGCCTCAGCCTCCTGAGCGTGGCCTGGCGGGCGTGTGCCACCACGCACCATTTCTGTATTATAGTAACTCATTCCATCCTTGAGAATCCCATACTACCATCCGTAAAGGAAAGCAGACTCAAATCCTGATCAGGATGATAAATAAAGGGATCTTGCTGAGAACAGTGGTGGTGATTAAAATGAGCCACAGGAATCCCGTCTCCCTGGGCTGCAGTCCTGCGAGAGGACTGAGTTCTGCAGGTACTGAGTGCTTCCGAGCTGCAGGGTGGGACAGGAGCAGGCAGCACAAGCTCCGTGCTGGAGCTGCTCCTCCCCGCCCGGGCAAAGCGCTGGGTCTCCTGAGGTCCCCCGTGTGTCTGCCTGGTGAGACTTTCTTCCCCTGCCACGGGATGGGGTGCCATGAAGGCTGCCCCAGTGCATGCGGTGGGCACCTCTGGGTCACAGGGATTCTCGGGAGCAGGGCTGTGAGCACTGGGAAAATAGAATTGAGCTGCAAGAGCACAGCGGGATGTAAGGAGAAGCTGGCAGCCTGAGGCTAAATCAGAGGAGTCTCCATGCGGACCCCTGGAGTCTGCTCCTCACCTGCTTCTGGGGGCTGGGGGGTTGGGACTCGGGGTTCAGGGCTCAGCTCAGGGTTCGGAGCTCACCCTCTCCTCGAAGCACAGAACAGAAAGCAAAGGGCTCCAGCACCGAGACCTGCCAGGCTCCTTCCCTGGGACACGGACCTGCTTCACGCTCCCCCACAGCACTGAGCAGGTGTCTGCCTCTATGCCTTTGTGGAAGTAAAGTGCCCCACATTACCGAAGAATAGAGACCGAGTGGGGTGCAGTGCCACGTGCCAGGAATTCCAGCATTCTGGGAGGCCGAGGCAGGAGTCCAGCCTGGACCAAAGGGGAGGCCCTGTCTCAAATTAAAAAGCAGAAATCGAGCTGCAGAGGTAGCACAGTTCAAAGGCCCTGACTTAAACCCCAGTACTGTAGAGAAAGAAAAAAAAAAAGGATAGAGATAAATAGCCCTGATTTCCGTAAGTCTGACACTGTGATGATGTCCTCAGTGCACTGAACATTCAGAGCAAAGCTGCCTGAAGAGAATAAACCGTGTTTCCGGATGCTCAGCCCGTCACGTGGTACCAACTAAAAGGCCGATTGAGTTCTGCCAGACCCACACCCTAACCCCACCCCAGGCACCTGGATTCCACTTGGGAACCCTCAGAATGATAATTTTTGTGAAGTGTGATAAGAGACAAGAAACAGCTTTTGTAAATAAGGATGGGAAGAGGGAGGGGAGAAAGTTGTATCGTGCACAGGCGCAGATTCCCAATGATGAAAGTGATCATTATGTATACTTAGAACGCGCCAATAGAAAAAGGGGGGAAAAGAAGGACACAGCAGTTGAACACCCCTCTACGTAACTCAAAACCCGTTTTCTTTTTCTCCCTGAAGAACTTCTTGATCTGCCATCCTCAACAGTTAAGAAGAAGGTTCACTTCAGCAGGGAGAGCAAAGAGAACACAGTGCAGACGGAGAGCTCCGTGAGCCAGCTCACGGCCAAGTCCAAGTGCAAGGACCTGAAGAAGAGGCTTCACGCTGCACAGCTGCGGGCGCAAGCGCTGTCGGACCTGGAGAAGAACTACCAGCTCAAGAGCCGGCAGATCCTGGGCATGCGCTAGCCCGGGCCGCGGGGAGCACAGCGTTCTTTGTGCGGCGCTGTGGCCTTGGCTGTTAACTGCTGTCGTTTTCCATCCCTGGTTCCTCCTCGCCCTAGTGAGCTTGATGTTTTGCTGTTTTCAGCAACACATTTTAAATGCTTCTTTCTTCTTTAAGAACACTTTATGGAAGGAATGATGCTTTCTGCGTCGGTTAGGCTGTTGGCCCTGTGTGTGGTTACCAGTAGGAATACAAGAGTCGACATTTGAGATGTTGGGGAAAAAATAATTTGCCTGATTTGTCAGAGTTGGTAAGGTAGTTTCCAGGGGAAAAAAGTATTCACGCTGGAGCCGCTCTTCCTGGAAAGTTTTAAATGACTGAGTCATGTGTTTGCAACTGTCGTGCCTCGCTTTAAAGTTGGAGTCTCGGGTTTTAAATGTTCTTGAACTTTTTTAGGAAACCACATTAGATATAAATTGGTCACTAACCCCACGACATCTAGTTTGTAAATATTTCAGTGCAGCACAAACCTGTGGCCGTGGTGGGAATTCGTCACTGTGTTGTCTGTATTTTATCCCTTGTTTCTGTTTAATAGTGTCTATTCTGGCTATCATTTCCCACCTTTCTCCCACTAAATAAAAGTTTTCCTGTATTGCTGTGTCTTGAATTGTGGCCTCTTAATTGGGGGGTTGTGTATCAGGACTGGAGACGTGAGAGGGAAGTGGGGGCCGTGACATTCTGCCACTCCGTACTGGAACCTCGAGACCCCCATCACTAATTCATGGAAGCCGGCGGCTCTGGGTGACTGCTGCCCAGGGAACACTTGGTAATACCTGGAAGCGTTTTTGATAGTTTTTGTTGGGTCAAAAAGTACCCTGCCCCAGATGGGTCACTGGGGCAGGGTACCTCTTATCTGTACCAGTTGGTGAGTTAACTGTGATGCTGGGTGCTAGAGCCTGGTTGGAGGAGGTCACCGGCGGTGTGGCCTGGAAGGGCTGGGCTCCCTCCTCCTCTGCTGATCGCTGCTTCCTGTTGCCAGCCCACCCTGCCTGGGAGCCGGCCCACCACAGGCTGAAACCTATGAACCGTGAGCCCAAGGAAACCTCCTCCTCTAATTTGTGGATGTGAGATCTTGTTTCTTAGCGATGAGAAAGTACTTGAGATGGTATATCCAGAGAAGAATCCTAATGGCACTGTTTTGACATAAATGTTGAGCGTAACTCCCAGCCAGCTGTATAATTGGCCAGGCCTGGCCTAAAATGAAGGTGTGGGCCTCACAAGTATATTAAAGGTACATCTGAAGCTTTGGAATTTCCTCTAAGGTCTCTCTGTTAATAGATATTTACTATTTAATGCTCTAAGTAAAGAAAAAATAATACACGTGGTGCATGCCTATGTTCCCAGCGCTCTGGAGGCTGAGATGAGGGTTGCCAAGAGTTTGAGGCCAGCCTGAAGTACATAGCAACACTCTCGAATCACCAAAACCAAAAAGAAAAGAAGGAAACTTAAATTATTGGCATGAATTTCACCATTCCTGTCTATCTTGTGCAATGTCAGTTTAAGTGCAAAAATTCCAGAGCATTTAGCTCAAGTGTGGAATTGTGCAATTCATATTTTGTGACTTGTCCCGGGGTGGGGGATGCCTGGAGCCAGCCAGAAGGGATGAACACACCCAGCCTCAGGCCTCTGGGGGCCTGTGAGGCTCAGCCTTCGCCTCCTCAATGGTGCTGCCCAACGCCAGGCCTGGAGAAGTCCGGCCAGTGTCTTCTCCCCCGTGGGCCCTGCCGCCTGTCAGGGACTCTGTGCTGGGTCAGGGTCCTGGGGGCCCCTGCCGGGCTGTGGCCTCCTGCTGAGCTCACCCCACAGTGCTGCCTGCAGGTGCCGCTGCCACATCCTGTCTCAACACATTCTGTGGCCCAACTGGAGCTGGCTGAGCGGCAAAACTGATGCCCGGGGCCATATGAGACCGAGAACTCCCCTGCGGGAGTGTGAGGACACAGGACTGCACCTGAGCTAAGGGGCCACACGCCCAGAGACTCAGATGTCCACAAGGGTTCCTTGCAGGATGCATTTCTAACACATATTCCAGGTGGCAGCTACAGACACCGCCCTGGGATCGGCTCTCCTGAATGCCAGGTCCTTTGCATGCAGGGCTGTGCAGGCGCCCCAATTCCTCACCCCTTTAGCCAGTCTTGTCTTCAGGAAATGCCCTTCCTACCCTGAAAACTGACAAGTTTTTGATTTGTGTGTGTGTGCTTTTGTATCTGTTTTTGACCCAAGGTCTTGCTATGTAGTCCAGGCTGGCCTTGAACTCTCAGTGATCGTCCTGCTTCAGCCTCCTCAGTGCTGGTGTCACAGGTGGGCACCACTGCCCCCAGCTTTCATTTCGTTTGGGAATCTGTGGCATCCCTGGCCTTCTCCATCTCAGCCTCCAACTTTGTTCAATCAACAAACAGTTAAGCAGCACTGATTCCAAGCCAACACCGTTTAAGGGGCTGCAGAGACAGCAGTAAGGAGACAGACAGGCCCTGCCTTGGTTCTTGCTGGTCCAAATGGGGCGAGACGAGGACAGCTGAGTAAGGGACAAGGATAGGACAGTCGCTGTGAGCTCACTAGTAGAATAAAGCAGGAGGACGTGGGGACTAGGAGTTCAGATTTGCAGAGGCGGCACTTAGGGGTGTAACAGGAAGGGGAGGAGGTTGCGATGGTAGAGAGAGGACAGGTGGGTCGAAGGGGGTTGGGGCAGGGACGGAGGGACAGATCGTGTGCGTCTCTAACCAAGCACCACCCCACGGCCGCTCAAATCCCTGGACTCGCCCCGTGTTCTGACAGACACGAGCCGCCAGGTGGCGCTGTGGTCCTGGGCCTGGAGCCGGGCTGGCCTTGGTGCCTCTGTCCGTCACTGCGGGGTCACCACGCGCCTGTGACTCAGGTAGCAGGCGTGCAGCCTTTCACACGGAGCCCCGAGGAACCGCTGGGTTCCAGCCGACGTTTTAGGCGCCAAAGCCGAGCTCCTGCCAAGGGCTCACCTCGGTCTCCACGGGGCAGTGACCTAGGTCATTAAAAAAGAATTTAAAATAATAAAAAGACAAATAATAAAGTAGCCTGGTGTGGTGGCTCACGCCTGTCATCCATCCCAGCACTAGGAGGCTGAGGCAGGAGGATCGTGGTAAGTGCGAGACCAGCCTGGGCTACAAAGTGAGCTTAATGCTAGCCTGAGCTGCATAGTGAGACCCTGTCTCAAAAATAAATAAAATAAAATACAATGTAAAATAAATAAAAATGAAATGGAATTTACATATACCAACAACGAAGGATTCTTTTGATTGGGAAGGCAGAGACCTCCCGGTCGCATGGATTTCTCATCGAGGAGGGCGTGGAACCGGCCCTGCCCAGGGACAGGAGGGGCGGCTGCTGCGAGCCCCCCACGCGACCCTCCAGTCCCCCCGGGTCCCCCGCTACTGTGATCACTGTGAGGCGGCCCCGCCGGACCCCACACGCCACGAAGCTGCCCCCCTGTCCCCGATGTCAGGGCGTCCTGGAACCGGTCACACGGTCTCCGGAAATGCTCCCAGCGCCTGGCTTTACTTACTATACATAATTTTTTTAACATTTGTCTTTTAAGCGGCTCCTGCCTCTTGAGTCCATACTCAAGTGAAATAAATCGGACACACGGGTAAATATCGCTTGTGTGAGAAACAAAGTGTAAATAAGGACCAAAATGTATAGAAGGTGTGAAAGAGGAGAAAAATGTGCAAACGGGGAGGGGACAAGGGAGAGGAGTGGGGAAGGCAAAGAAGGGAGGAGGTTTTTAAAAAAGAGAAGAAAAGTTAAAAATGGAAACAATGTGTAAATGGGGAGAAGAGGCGGGGTCAAAGGGAGGGCAGGGGAATTTGGGAGAAAAGCAGTGAAGTTACGTCATGTACAGGTGCAAATTCTGTGTGGGGAAGGTACCATTACGTGTATTTAAAATGCACTAATAAAATCTAATTTAAAAATAAATAAAATTTGTCTTTCTTAGCCAGACACGAAGGTGCATGCCTCTACTCACAGCACTCAAGAAGCTGAGGCAGGAGGATTGCTAATGGATTCAAGGCCAATCTGGGCTACACAGTGAGTTCAAGAACAGACTCAGCTACGTAGCGAGACCCTGCCTCACAAACATTATTTTTTTGAGACAAGGTTTCTCTATGCACCTAAGGCTGGCCTTAAGCTTACTTTATAGCCCAGGCTGGTCTTGAACTTGCAGCAATCCTCCTGCCTCAGCCTCCCAAGTGCTGGCATTAACTCTTCTGTTTTTAATATTAACTTCTATTTATTCTGAGGTGTTTACCCAGATATAGTAGGTAGACTCCTTGTTTTGTCAATAAGAAACTTAACTGTCCTTCAGTTTTAATTATAACAATGGTAAATAAACACGCTAAATAATGACATGTATGTTTCTGTGATCACTGGACCAAAAATAATTAATACATGGCTTAGAAGCTGTATGTGGTCTCTATTTTGCAGGCTTGAACTTCCCAGTGCTCATGGTGGACATGCGTCTGTGAACAAAGGTCTGTGTGTGCGCGTCGATGTTTGTGCCTGAGTGTGTATGTTTACACACCAAGACCCTGTCTCCAACAAACAAAAACAGAAAAAAAACAAAGAGGGTCCCAGCTGCCTGGCAGATCTCTGTGGTGCAGGCGGAGCCTCAGCTCCCCACTCTCCAGGCAGGGTGGTCACTGCCGGCCCAGAGGGTGATGTCCAGGTCTCCTGCCCTCTCTGGGCACAGACCTGACTTGGACCTGCTGCCGGGGGCCCAGGGTGGCCTCTCTGGGCTTTGGGTTCCTGGTCTGTGAAGCTGGAATGGGAATACTGGGAAGGATTAAATGGGATCAATTGTATCCCAGGACCTTGGACCTCGGACACTCCCTGCCCGTGAACTCACTCTCCCTGGCCTCCAGGGATTTAAAGTGGCTTATGAAAGCCTACAGTTGAGAGCCAAATGCACATCCTAAAAATAGGGCCAGGTATGGTGGCACATGCCTGCCAGTCACTACATTTGGGAGGCTGAGGCAGGACGATTGCAGTGAATTCCTCGCCAGCCTGGGCTACACAGCAAGAACATGAAAGGGAGAAGATGACAACCTAAGGCAGGAGCAGGAACAAGCCCAACATTCAAACTGGAATCCTCATACCAAGAGCCAGGCCTTCTGGGGCAGGTCACAGTGCTGAGGGATGCAGGGGCAAAGCCCCCAGGGGGTGATGCAAGCCAGTGCTGCTCCTTGGAAGAACCGTAATGTGCTCAGGGTCACCCAGCACCGGGTTAGCAGGCAGGCAGACCCCACGTGTGCAGGTCTGACTGGAGAACCCTGTGGGCCACAGACAGGAAAGGGGGAGCCCAGCTCCCTGTTTGTGCACTGGGGCTTCTAGTGGGAACCCACGGGGGCCAAGTGGAGACCACAGCCACGCTTCAGGGAGGGCAGGAGTGCTGGGGGGCAGAGGAGGTGGCCGTGAGCCATCCTTACCCAGAGCATCAGCCTGAGCTCATGCCCAGAGGGCCAGGGGACAGCTCAGCTTGGGGACCAGACAGTCACCTGCAGAGAGAGCTGTGCAGGGGCCAGCCGGGGACCTCTGGCTTTCTGAGCCACATTTCCTGGGAAGCAGGGTGGCTCATTAGAGCTG